TGAATAAAATTTTCACCAAATTGCCTTCTACCTTATATAGTTTTTAACTATTATAGTGAGAACTGCCAACTTGTTACCGAATCTCCCATAATGTATCTTTAAATAAAATATAATATTAAGTTATTAATATAATAAGCTTAGAAGGTTTGAATCATAATAAAATAATACGACTAAACATGAGTAGATGTGTTTCATTTTACAGTGAGTGAGATTCGTGAGATTACAAATTGGCAATATTTATCACTTGACAGAAACGTAAAAGTTCACATAAACATAACAAAAAAAATAATAAGTTATTCATATAATAATGTTTAAATAGTAATAAAATATGAGTAAATATGAGAAGACGTGGTTCATTTTACAGTGAGATATAATAGAACTTGAGAAGAATTTATCACCAATCTGATTAAAATACAGATCTATATTTCCTTTCATTTTTTTTTTATTTTCGATGACCTACACTAGCCTATGACGTCAGACATTGATTAATCAATCAGCGTTCACATTTCTATTGGTAATATAACAACTCTTCCAGATCCTAGTGTAGTAAAGACAAGTAAAATGAAATTTTGAACTATAAAAAAAAACGAAACCAAATAGAATCTGTGTTTCAATCAGATTGATTTATCACTTGATTGAAATGTAAAAATTTGAAGAGCATTTAATACTTCATGCATATGCAGAACAGAAATGCACTGAAATGGAGTTTGTCCTACCTTTTTGCAGTGTAGAACATTCTATTGATGTAATGTTAAATTATTTGTATGAACACAATGGATATTAAAGTTATTGAAAATTGAGCACATAACTTTAGTTTGTTTGAGCATTATACAATACCAGCCAATATGATTTCTGTTAACATTCACTTAAGTCCCTGATCATATTTCAGACAATATCTTTAATTTTAACTTGGACTTAGTTCGATATTTAGGTATTTTTTTCACTTTAAATTAATTAACACAATAAATGTATAAATAATGAAAAGAATTTGGTGGGGTGGTTTGTTTTTGTTTTTTTTTAAAAAAAGAAGAAAAATGTATGTTTTTGAGTTGTTTTCGACTGACTACAATCAGAATAATTTAATTTAATAAAAATAATAATATATATACAAAATGAATAATTAAAAACCTTTCAAACAAGAGTATAGGACTGAATAAAGAATCTCTATGTACATAACATGTTATATTGTATACCATAGTTCACTAAATAAATACCCAACCACTACTGAATCTCAAGACAAATAATCATTACAATAAGCATAACAATTCTCTCTGTAAAATAATACCATGTCATGGTTTAACTAATATAAATTAGGTTTTAACACCTAACTACATATAAATATAAATGAAATGAGGTTTCACATCCTGATTTTCATTCCATCTTCCACCAAGGGCAAATCAGGTTGGATATCCTTAAGGAACTTTCTTCGTCAACACTGGGATGAAAGCCTGAATCTCCAGGATCGTGACCCGGCTTTATACTCACCGAGTCAGCACGGCTTTCGATTATACATATGCACCAGAGTATAGTTTAATCTATGGAGATGAACATATGTCCCAGAAATTCAAGCATGGCCATTTGTTCAGTTAAATATGGGATGTGTAAAGACTAACTTAAAGACACTGCTTAAAGATGCATTATGTACGATTTAGATAAAGAGATGCCGTTCTCGATATAATAGTTCAAAAATAGATCATAAAAAATGAATATATTGAAAATTTCATTCAAATGGCTTTATTCTGAGCGAGGTTTGAAGTTTTGACAAGATATAGCATAGATTGTCTATTATTGTAGCAATGGTACTTAACAATCGAGACTTTCATTAAAGTTTTAAATCTTGCAAGCGTTCTAATCTATTTAAATCTCAGCCATCCGAGTTGATTAGAGGTTTGCAATGTTAATAAATGTCTAATTGGTAGTTTATATAAGAATTAAAGCCAAATTATATACCTGCAATAGACAGATGTAGCTCTTACATAATGCATCTTTAAACGGCAGACTATTTCTGACACATCACAGACATTTTCTGTCAAAATTGGCCACTAGATAATAATTATAATGTTATTAACAAACTATTACACAGTATGGACTGGGTTTTATCATTGGGAGAACAGGTTTCTATCACTAACTATTTATATAACACCGGTTATTCATTTATTTAAATTAACTTGTTAAGACTACTCTATATTAAATCAAGGGGGAACAACTCTATCATTACAGTGGTATAATTCAACCTTCCTACTCAGAATAAAAACAAGGTAGAAAATGGAAATTTATAGCCACCTTAAAGAATTTGGGACTAACATGTATGTATGGGATGATATATCCCGAATCTTCATAACACGAATACAGTGTATTCAATTGTGATTCACAACAGATCCATTTTATTATGAATAATTCTAAAAATTTGACATATTTCTGGTACAAAAACAACTAAAGATGGCATGGAATAACTCTCATGACACATGTTTACCAGAATATCCAAGTTCTAATTATCTTATAAACAACAAATAATATTAATGTATTAAGTTTCTACACTGGGTTCAATTTGTGACCTGAATATGATTTAAACTGTTTATCAAAACACTTGTATTGTGAAAGATAAATAGACTGGAAGTCACACTCCTAAGGTCAATTTGGTAAAAAAACCAGCAACCAAATTGTCGAGGCCTAAGAATCGCAACACTCCATCGATCTTGCTTTGAAGTATCTTGTCTTGGGAGGCAAATAAGGCCTTACAATTAGACAAGTTTATCTATGTTAATGCTATGATGTTAGGCTAACAACTTTGAACTTTTAGAGTACCTTGTGATTTCGAAAGTTTTCGTTAAAATGAAAGGCAGTAGGTGACCTCAAGGTTGAGACTACTAAACAGTAGTACTTGTACAACAATACCATAGTATGTTAATGTGTACAACTTAAAATCATACCGTGGATCAGGAAATAACCATCAAGAATATTTACAGAATGAATGATCTTTGACAGATTATGATTATGAAAAAGATTCTTGGTGATTATAAAGGAGATTCTTTGTACTAAAAAAATGTTTTTTTGTCTTATATATTAAGACTTGTTTTTCCAGTAGAGAAGAGAAAGAATTTTTTTGTAATAAAACAAGTGTAAAAAAACAGGTGGAGTATTATCTGGGCGACCTGCACCCAATAACACTTTCAAATTAATATTGCGAATTTCCTATATTACAAAACTTTGATTCTTCTAATTAAAAATGGGGACCATGTATCACAATTTATGATTGGATGCTATTATTTTTTTCAAAACATGAATAATTATCTAATCACAAATATATCTAACACCATCAATGATTGGATACTACATATAAGTATATGTGACACCATGAATGACTGGATGTTACCATTTCTTTAAACATGAATAATTATCTTATTATAATACCATCAATGATACCATTTCATTAAACACAACATGAATAATTATCTTATCATATGTAACACCATCAATGATTGGATGATAAAATCATTCTAAAAAAATCTGATCAATAAATTAATTGTAAAACTGTTTGTATCACCACCTGTGATTGGATGAGATATAATTCAAACTATAAATAGAAAGTGATGTAAGATCATTCTGCCATATTTGGATCTGATAATTCCTGTTCGTATGTACACAATGCTTGATGAATAAACTCGTACTGTTCATGAGTTTGTATCATTCCTCCTCTGTAAAAAATATATATTTATATATTCCTTCAATAATTTAAATTATAGTAAGTGCAGGACAGTTGCACTACACACAAAACAAACCAACACGACAAACCTGCGGACAAGACAAACTACACAGACATTACAAGTAATAAACAAATATCAAATCCAGTGAATACATCTGGGGGCGTCCCTGGACCATAATAAAATTGGCTTCAAACAGAAAAGTAGATGAAAGGAATTTAGTTTAATGTCTGGTCAACACAATACTTTGGTCATATTGGGACTAACATGCTGTATGTTAATGTGTGAAACGCAGGGTAGGAGATTAATGCCTAGATTCTTAAACAATTTCCAGCTATACAGGTGTCTTTTACATGCATACCAATCTATGCACAGCTTTTCAGCAATCTGAATGATTAGATAAACTTTCCTTGTCAGACTCTCAGGCGTCATACCTGATGAGTGAAGACAGGTTGAAGGTTTTTCTCGGACCTGTGACATTCTAGTATAAAGGCTGATTAAGTTGCCACATACTCTACAACATTTTCAGATTAAAACAAGCCACGTACCTGTCTAATCTCATACTACAAACTATTCCCAATATATCAACAGAGTGCTCTTCTCTTAGTTGTTTCATTCCAACACTGACAGCTATAAAACATCCAGTTCTTCCTATACCAGCACTATAATTATATTAAATATAGCATATGTAACAAATATAAAACATCCAGTTTTTCCTATACCAGCACTAAAGTTACATTAAATATAGCATATGTAACAAATATAAAACATCCAGTTCTTCCTATACCAGCACTAAAATTACATTAAATATAGCATATGTAACAAATATAAAACATCCAGTTCTTCCTATACCAGCACTATAATTATATTAAATATAGGACATGTAACAAATATAAAACATCCAGTTCTTCCTATACCAGCACTAAAATTACATTAAATATAGCATATGTAACAAATATAAAACATCCAGTTCTTCCTATACCAGCACTATAATTATATTAAATATCGGACATGTAACAAATATAAAACATCCAGTTCTTCCTATACCAGCACTAAAATTACATTAAATATAGCATATGTAACAGATAAGAACATCCAGTTCTTCTTATACCAGCACTAAAATTATATTAAATATAGGACATGTAACAAATATAAAACATCCAGTTCTTCCTATACCGGCACTAAAATTACATTAAATATAGCATATGTAACAAATATAAAACATCCAGTTCTTCCTATACCAGCACTAAAATTACATTAAATATAGCATATGTAACAGATAAGAACATCCAGTTCTTCCTATACCGGCACTAAAATTATATTAAATATAGCATATGTAACAAATATAAAACATCCAGTTCTTCCTATACCAGCACTATAATTATATTAAATATAGGATATTTAAGAAAAGCTATGACAATAAATTGTAGTTTTCAAGTCCTATGTTTCTGCCTGATCAAAAACAAATATACATTAGGCAGTGTTACAAGAATAACTTTTGCCAGACCCTCACAGACCTGTCTTTGGACATTAACATGTCTCAGCAGACTCCCACATTTACTTTTTCTCTGAATAGCCAGCGGTGCTAGGACTTAGGACAAGGGTCATTTTAAAAGTCATTCTGATTAAACGCATGGTACATCACAGCATATTATAGATAATCGTCATTCATATTAATGGAGCTCTGAAATTTCTAATGAAATTAATTGCTAGAGTGCCAACAACTTCAAACTGAATTTTTAAATGTCCATCTTTTATAAAATCTTCAGTCAAACTAATGCTAACAAGTTATTGACAAGTGCACAGAAAACTAAAAGCATTTGCTGCTCTTCCCTCCAATTATAAATACAAAACTATTTACTTTGGAAGAAAGTTATTGTTTTGTTACCTGCAATGAACAATAACTGGTCCCCGTGGTAACATAGAATCTGGTTTATATCTGCGTAATTCCACTTCCTTTATAAGTTGAAGCAGCATTTTTGGAGATTCTGATGGTCGTTGATCGGGCCATGTTTGGTACCAATAGTGTAAGACGGTTAAATGTTCACCACCGCACTAAAAATACAAAGATATTAATTGAAAAAAAAGTCATATCCAGAATTGTCAATGCTATATTACATTGTATATTTAACCTATAACAAATTAAATGAAATCAGGTTTCACACCCTAATTAGCGACCCAGCGCCTTATACCCACTGAGCCATTGCAGCTCAACGAAACAATGCAAATATCGCGTTTTATGTAAGTAAATGATATATCAGTATAATTTTACTTACACGTAAAGTTAAATGACGAACTTCAAAACCATTTCTATTTATAACTCTGTCAACTGTGACCTCAATATCTCCAAACATGGCTGTTGTGTCTGGTAAATAATTTTCACATTTTGGCTAAAAATAAAAAAAAATAAAAACATGAGAAAGAAGCAAGACAATATAATCAATAGATATGAATTTCTGCTGTAAACCTAAAAGTAACTAATCTTTCATTCCGAAATATCCTAGACTAAAAATCAAATAATATCCAGACAAATATTCCGAATCTGAGTTTTTATAATGATACATATAAATAAATTTTTTTTTTTTTTTTTTTTTTGGCACCAGTCATGACTGATAGGCCAAGAAATTCCCAATAATCTAGGAATATGTTATGTGTCAAGTCTTGAAATTTTACTGTTACCACAACCCCCACAATGGTTGGACCTTTTATTGTTAGTATAACCATAGTTTATACTCTTACTGCCTTACCTTGCTTTTTTCTTTAAGTTTTGTGATCATAACAATAATAGGACATCTTTCAAACCATACCATCTTCCAAAAATCTACAATAGTATGAGCCATGGGACCTTGTGTAGCTATATACGCTCTAGATTCAGCTTCATACCCCTGTAATGTACAAATATCATATTCACGTCTACAACTATATAGATTTTCTATTGATATCAAAACTGACGAAGCATTATTAATATTAAGGAAAAGAAACAGATTTAATAGTATTGAGAAAAACAAGCTAACAGTGGGGTTGATGCCCCTAGCCACAATCCCAAATTAAATAGAGGACACACGAATCTATTTGCACATTTATCTTTTTCAAAAGTATCAAGCAATCAAACTGATTATCTTTACTTAGTCTAAGCAGAAAATGTGGGCATATAAAAAAGTGAAACTCTAAAGGCCAAATAATAAAACACATGACAAGGGCCTTTGAGGTTGACCCTAACTTTATTATTTTTGTTAAGCTCTAAATTGATAAATACTCACCCGTATATAGTTTGCATTAATGTAAGATGAAAGTGGATCGCCATCACCATCGCCATCTGCTAATATAACTCGTGTATGTTCATCTGAAATTAATATATACAAATATCTGCAATGATTTTATGCTGGGTATCAGAATTCAAATCTTTCATTAATTACTATAAACTTGATAATATTATAGTACAGTATTTAAAATCTATTTACAGAAAGAGAATGCAAGGTAATTGGTGGGAAGTGAAAATGTTCAAGGGACATAACCCCCATCTAATTGGAGAAGACCACTGGGTGGCAGACTACTGCTTTAATACTAATTCATGCTCTTGCTCCAAAGCCTGACTATGCAAATTTTGACTATGCCAAAGGCGGTGAAGAGAGAGAGAAAGAGAAAGAGAGTAATTATATTCATGGATAATCAAGATAGGGAAAGCACTTGGTGGTCTGCAAAAGAAGGCTGATATATACGGTAATAGGCATTTCTAAAAAAACAACAAAGACTTGTTTCGAAAATAATATCTGTTATCAAAATACACTAATAATAGGATGTTTTGTAAACTCGTCTGTCAGCAGATATAGTTTTGTAAGCAGTTTCCAATTATGTTTACATAGTTTACATATTAGGACATTAAAATTGCATTCCTTGCATATTTAACAAAATAAGTGAATGATGTATTTGTGGGGGGGTGGGGGGGGCGGTAAAGAGCAAGTGTGCATTATTATATTTAGACGTCCCTGGGCAAGAGACTGTGAGTAGACAACGTGAAGTCATTGAAGTCTGTAGTGAAGTAAATATTGAACACAACGTGAAGTCAAGGATTTTGAGAATTGTGACATAGAATCAATAGTATTGCACTTACTGGGTATAATAGTTTTATATCTGTTCTTCATACCCGAACCAGCTACTGATACTTTTTCAGTATGATTCATAGGAATTTCCTAAATAAAACAAGTGAAATAGTTTATCTAAATACTGAAATGAAGAAACATGATATTTTATCATCATCTTCCATGTCTTTTGCAATACGTCAACCAGCATTGGAGTTGTTTATGGGGCCTTAGCTGTTCACCTCGAAGCAAAATATCACTAAACCGATTTTCTTAATATAAAGTTCAAATGCATCATGTACAAACTTTAAAGCAGATATTTATAAATACTACATTATAATGCCTAAGTTGTGATTTAAATCAGCTTTAAATTTTTACATGGACTGTTCGAACAGGACTTTAGGAGAGCAATTTTCTTAGCAATGTATAAAAACAGAATAACATTATCTTGCCATGCCAGTAAGATATCTGTTTAGGAGAGTTTAAAAAGACTTGCTTGCTTACCCAAAATTCCTCATATATGTCTCTGGTATTATTTAAAGAATTTCTTAAATCTCTTCGACTCAATCGGTTTCCCGCTGACATTAAAAATTCTATACCACTGCTATAAAAATACAAAACATTACAATTTAATAATTCCATACAACAAAACTAAGTTAGATATAGTATCTAGAACAAATGCAGCCCCATTTAGTAATCATTGAGCAAAACGGATTATTAATTAATGCTTACTTCTAGTTCTTTAGATACATGTATGTAATTAATTATGGCTTCGGTTTACTGTTACGACTTAAGGTATGTCATCAGCGCTTTGATCAGTGCTTGTTATATATAATGTCTATATTTATGGCTTCTTTTTACTGTATATAAATACATGCGATATCACTTCTGTGGAAGCAGACGTTGAAGCACCAACGTTATCATTTGCTTGATAAAGACGAGTTTATCATTGTCGAAACATTGCATGTTAATATACCAGTAATTGTTATCCATAAATAGTGTTTAGTGTGTCAGTTAGTAACACTTGGTAATATCAGGGCTGGATTAAACTAACAAGGAGCTCCTGGCTGAAAATGTCCCTGGGGTCCTTGCAGCATCAACAGTGAAAACAGGGCACATACTGGTCATTGTCCATCGCATGCAAACAGATGCAATTAGGAAATTTTATGGCCCTCTTGTTAACCCCTACCGTAAATTATGACATTTATTTATGGTACCAAATTTTCATAGAGATAATCTGGGGGCCCCTGGTTGCAGCCTGGTCATACCCTCCTTTAATTCAGCCCTGAGGCTGTGTCACATTGTTTCAATGCAGGTTCTCCCATCTTTTCTTATATTGACATACTCGGATCTCGAAACAATCTGAGCCTTTATAATCCCTCTAGATTTATTATTATGATGTAAGATTTTTTCAGATTCACAATGTGCTGTGTTTAAATCTATGTTCAACAAAATAATATGCATATTATTTCAATGGTATCTTGTAATGGAGTAGTATCTGGTGGGCTATCATTAACTAAGTTGTATATTTTATTAGTGTATCGCTGTATGGTAAATTCTAGTGAACCCTAATGTATTGCAAAATACTTAGTGAATCCTAGTTAATAAATGTATTGATAATACTAGTTAATCCTAGTTAAAAGAGAGAGAGAGAGAAATGGGGTTTAACGTCCACTCGACACAAACTAGGTCATTTCGGGACTAACATATGGTATTAATTTTATTTCAATAATTTGCTTGTGCGTAGGGGTCTTTAGCAGTGGGAGGAAACCGGAGGACCGGGAGAAAACCCACGAGGCTGGACAGGTGACCCTACTCCTTGTCACGTACAACCAGGGATTCGAAACCATGCCAGTTGACTCAATGACAGGCCTTATGATACAGAGAGCGCATGCTAACCATTCGGCCACCCAACCCCCCTGAATCCTAGTTAAACAATAATAGTATTCCATACAAATGTGTACTGTGCAATATTGTGTTGATATATTTTTCGACAAAACCAATAAAATAAAACGGTATATAATGTTTACCTTTCTTTAGGTGGTGTTCCATCCCATCTAGTTAATTCTGGTGAAGGATTTAAATCTATTGTTAATGATGCATTTGATCCTCTCCTACTGATCAAACAAAACACATCTATTAGTTCATAATATGGGATACAAAAACATATCTTTTAGTTTAAATTAGAGGATGAAACAAAACACATCTATTAGTTTGTATACAGAATCAAATAAAACACATCTATCAGTTTATAATATAAGATCTTTGTGCCAGTAAAATATTGGCATGTATCAGACCATAACTTCATGGTCGTGCAAATCGGACAAAAATGGCCACTCCCTACACACAAATAGTGTAAAAGTATGTAATACCAAGATTGTGGGCCCTATACTGAGGTCACAATTTTTATCTGATTTTGATGAAACTTAAAATATATGTTTATATCTCAAATATCTTCGCTCCTTTGAATATTAGCACAGATTTGATCTTAGCTTCCTGGATTATAGCCCCTGACTGTACGAAAATTCGCTATTACTTTGCTTGATCATCTCTTGCTAAATGTGGGCGTATCTTACAAGGCAACCGCTTGTTTTCTATAACATTAAATTCTAAAACTAGTTTTCAAATTAAGAAAACAATTCGTGCTATCTCCTGCCATTCAGACATCATGTTCCTTGTAAAATTTAGTGGCTCACTTCCATGCGTTTGAATCCTGAGATACATTGTAGGCTGAGCAATATGAATACATGTATTTATTAAAGCTCAGCTCTACATGTTTTAACTCTGACGCAAAAAAAAACCCAAACAAAAACAAATTTTATGTTTATACAGTTTTGTTTTTGTTTGAAGAATATGTCTATTTCAGATACAGTTTAAGATTCTAGAAGACTGGTTTAGCCTCCCTCAATGTGCTACCTTATATCACTGAAGAACACAAAATTTTGAGACTAACATATGGTAATTTTATTCTAATAATTTGCTTGCGAGTAGGAAACCAGAGATCCACAACTTTAGACATGTGACCTACTCCTTGTCATGTACACACATGGATCAAAACTGCACCACTTGACTTAATGACAAACCTTATGATCTAGCCTGGACAAAAGGCGCCTGTCACACAGACATTGTGAATTAGAAATTATCAAAAAATGTATATAAGCCTGGACACAAAGCACCTGTCAGCTGCAAATTTTAAAAAATAAGCTGATAATTTGTGTCTGACAAAGTCTGTGAGAGAGAGAGAGAGAGAGAGAGAGAGAGAGAGAGAGAGAGAGAGAGAGAAAGAGAGAGAGGGGTCATTTCGTGACTAACATATGGTTCATTTTTATGTCAATAATTCGCTCGCAAGTAGGGGTCCTTAGCAGTGGGAGGAAACTGGAGGACCCAGAGAAAACCCACGAGATTGGACAGGCAACCCTACTCCTTGTCACATACAACAGGTGAATCAAAACCATGCCTGCTGACAGACCTTATGATACACAGCGTACACGCTAACCTTTCAGCCATCCAACCCCACCGGTCAGTGACTGACGCCTTCAGTCCAGCTTGAGTATATTGACGATTACTCACCTTTCTAAAAGTTTTTTTTTAACAAGTACAGGTTGAGTTGGCTGTGGTGTAATGGAACCTTTGGGTAAATAAACTGGACAACCTTCTGGTTGTATACCTAATGGATCTTTAACATCTGGTTTTATTGTGGGATAAAAAATCTCTAGATGAGACAGTGGCTCCTCAAATTTTGCCTTTTTATTTTTTATACAGCAGCAAACATAAACCTGGAAATAAACAAAAATATTGCTGGATTACGATTGTCTTCATTAGTAGAAAAGTAAAACGTTAAACCCCTTTTAAAGTACAGATGCTTCATTAGCATTTTATTACAGCTTAAAGGGACAATAACACTCTTGCTGGCTTGACAGCTCCAGGAAATAAAAAATAGCCTGATTCTAAGTACTAGATGTGTTAGTGTCCTACCTGTTGTGTAAATTATCCATTCAATCCTATTTTACTTGTTTAAAGGGTTCAAAAATATTTTAAAATCCAAGTCACATTTGAAAAGCTTTATGTCAGGCTTTTCAAATCATTTAGTTGAATTTTTCCAATTTTTTAAATTAGGTGTGTTAAGATGAAATTTGTATCATCAATTAATTGGAATATTGTAAAATAGTACAATTTATTGACCAGAATAAAGATTAGAACATATTATTCAGTTACAACAAGAGTGGTATTGAGCCTTTAATGCAAGCTAAATATGTACTCAGGTTGACTATTTAACAATTAATTAAGAAAACAACCAGATTTAAACTAAGACCATTAGGTTTCTCCAGTACTAATAAAAGATGAAGGTGGGTTGTTACACTCAAGCAGCATAGATCAAAGATATTTCAATGTAACATAACCTTGTAAATACTGAACGGAATTTAACCATTTTTGGAACTGATATTCCTGATTCAACTTTTAGTATATTGTAGTTTACATGTGATTTCCATAGCGGTAAATCACACATCAGCTCTTATATTTCATTTAATTTCAAATCCAATAGAGCACAGAAATTTCAATGTAACATAACCTTGTAAATACTGAACGGAATTTAAACATTTTTGAACTGATATTCCCGATTCAACTTTTAGTATATTGCAGTTTACATGTGATTTCTATAGTGGTAAATCACACATCAGCTCTTATATTTCATTTAATTTCAAATCCAATAGAGCACAGAGATTTTATTTCAAGTCTCAATTGCATTCTTTTTGAAAAATTGAATAAATTGACACATTCTATTGGAATATTTCTCATTAATGTTTAAAATATAATCAATGAGACTGTTTTCAACTCAGGTAATCTTTGTTTTAGCTTAATTGAAGGTATGTACAGAAAAAGCCTATTGTAACCAATCTATCAAAAATTTGCTTCAATTCCCTCTCAAAACTTTGTATTCGCCGAGGATACCTATAGCTATAAGTAAGCTGTTGTCAACTTCTTTTTCCACCGTTTATTTGCAGAGTCTTTTGTACGTTGACACCCCTCAATGTTTCCCAAACCACCTAACCATTTGATCAAGAAATAACAACTGCTCCCTCTCTTAAGCTTGTACACAATAAGCTGGCAGATAACAGTCAGGTTGCCAGTTAGTGATACCCTGACAATTTTGCCCAGTGCTTGCCCCATGGGTGTTTTTTTGGGTAATCCAGTATTTTTCTAGTAAGATTGGGTGTCTATACTTTCCATATATACCAAATTCGACATACTTTTTTGGATATAACCACCCGACAAATACTTTTCTGGGAAATTATATTTAAGTATTAACTGTACAGACAGGGAGAAGGTGAGGTTTTTTGAACAAGATTTCAATTCAAGTGGAAAGGTGAGTGTTTCTGAATCAGATTTCAATTCAAGTAGAAAGAAAGAGAGAGAGAGAAATGGGGTTTAACGTCCACTAAACACAAACTAGGTCATCTCGGGACCAACATATGGTTTAATTTTATTTCAATAATTCGCTTGCGCGTAGGGGTCTTTAGCAGTGGGAAGAAACCGGAGGACCTGGAGAAAACCCACGAGGTTGGACAACGTACAACCGGGGATTCGAAACCACGCCAGTCGACTCAATGACAGACTTTATGATACAGCGCGCGCACGCTAACCATTCAGCCATCCAACCCCCCAAGTAGAAAGAAAGTACTGGTAGTAAATTATAAAATTTTCATTTAATAGTACAAAAAATTAAATTATTAGAAAATAAATCCCTTTTTTAGTTTAGTTTTTTTTTTTTTTTTTGGGGGGGGGGGGGGGTGAAAATAACAATAACAGATATTATATTGTGGGTATATGACCTCAAGTAGTTGGTTCTGATGGGAAATAGGTAGGCCTTACATTAACAGCTGATGATTGAGGTAACATGAATTTGAACTTTTGTTCCTTGAATTCACATACATTAACAATTTGCTTATTTCTTGCTTGCTGTATTCCCCTTCCCTTTCAGTTTTGAGATTGCAAACAAAAAGTCTTCCAAAACTTATTTATTGATCAACATCCCAATGAACCAAATTTTAATTTGATTTGCTTTGAAATGTTAAACACAGTCTGTGGGACTTCCAGTGGATATTAATTAATCAAGAGATAGAAAATACTTACAACAACAGTAACCAAGGTAATCACTGCCATACATAAAGCTGCAGTAACATAAGGGAAGAATGGTTTTGTCCAGAATGGTGTTTCATAGTTGGTTAATGATATTTGATGCTGAAATAAATTCATTGTTTTTAAATTGTGATGTAATAAAAAGTTTCAAAGTGACACTAAACATGGAGTATGCTGTTTAGTTGATAATCTGTTGTAAGTTAATAGTTATATCATTTCAAAGGATTGACTAATCACATTAAAATATATGCAGATAGCATTGATGTTGTACGTAACTAACGTACGAAAATTAATTGGTGGCTAGCTTTTTTTTCGCAAATATACAGTGAATGGGCATTTTGCTCAGTAATCCCAGCCAGAATTTGGCTATTTTCTAAATTTGCGTTAAAGTTTAAAATATTTGTTTTAGAACTGAAACACATTAACTATTAGTCAATCCCAACGCTAAAAACATCAACAGAATTGATTGTGTATATCTGAAATAGACCCGACCGACGCACAAAATAGTGCAATATGGCGGCCTCTATGAACAACCCTCGCAGACGCTGTCATTGAAGACAAAGTCAATTCTATGAGTTGTAGATGTTATTTTTGTGAAAAATCATTGGAAGAAGAGAGAACATGTTGGGACTGTACGAATTATATAGTCTTTATGGGTGCAATGGACACAATGCTGAAGATAAACCTATTGTTTACAATGTTGACCTCTTGGCCCATTGACGCCAATGTCATGATCTGTGATGTGTAGATCACGTGATATGGATATCATGGCTACTGACTGTGTCTGAGATACTTCTCCGCAGGTAGCGTGTCTCAGATGTTCAGAATGCATTGATGTTTGAGGAGAAGGACAATTGTGAAAAATATTCAAAGCTCAGAGAATATCTGATCACTAGAAGTACATGTATATTTATGGTCTTTGATAGGATCAACCAATACATTGTATATATTGAATAATACTTTTTAATTGACCCAAGACTATAAGTAATAAATTAATAAACTTACATCTAATGATATGGCAGTAATATTTAAATCTGGTAATTTCTTTTGGAGTTTTGATATAAGACCTGGTACCAGAATATCTTTTGCTGGAATGAGATCTGATGCTAGTAGAATATCATCATCTATTGGAGCATGGCGCAAGAAATACAAACCAACAACATTTCCAGCTAACTATAAAACAATAATGTACGGTATATAAATAGTAATCACATTATACTTCAACAAAACGAACAGGTGAATTCTTCAGAATGCAAAAGTAAAACATTTTCAGACATTTTTTAGTAATTGTATAAGCCATTTTGAATCAATAACTCAAAAATTTACTATCAATATGTGTATGAACTATACCAAGTTTCTATACATTACAAATTTTTAATCATTATTTTACAGATTATAATTCAGATCTCAAGATTTTTTGAAAGAAATTTCAATACATTTTTTACAGTTTCTTAATTTATATTATAACATGCTGTATACATAGCAAAATGGCTGACATGACAGTGTAGAACATCATTTAAAGATGCATTATGTAAGATTTAGATAGAGCTGGCAGTTCTCGCTATCATAGTTTAAAAATAGATAATGGAAAAGAAATATATTGAAAAATTCAGTCAAATTACTTCATTCTTTGTGAAATTAAGAACTTTGAAAGTTTTGATAAGAATAGCATGCATAGTCCACTGTTACGACAATAAACAACCTCTTGATTATCCATTTTTAAAATAAATTATTAAATGACCTAGAGAGTTGATTAGGAGCTTGTCATGTTAATAAATGTCTAATTAATAATTTACAGGTATATAACATTTGAGGCCAAAAGAAAGACATGCAATAGGCAAATTTAGCTTTGACATAATGCATCTTTAATGTCTGATTTACCATGTACATGTATAATTGACACTGTACTTGAAGAAGACCTCTCTATAAGGTGATGCATGCAATATATAATATAATCAATAATATTCAAAATACAACAATCCTATACTTACACTAATCCTGTCTACACGTATTTTATCCAGTGTACGATTTAGTACTTTGGAGAATGAATCACGTAAAGACTGGATAGCACTGTCTATTGTTCTGTTAGGATTGTTGACACCAGCTCCTAAAGTCTACAAAAAGAGATAATTTTGTGTAAAAATATTACATAATTGTACTGTTACAAAGTGAACAAGGCCTGGGGTGCTCAAGCGTAGGTTTGTTGTTGATTCCATGATGTACTAATATATCTAAGTACAAGTTAGTATCAATAGTGTGGGGTTTTTTTATTAACGCAATTTTTATTCAGGTTGTCTTAAGGGGATTGGGGAACAGGCTTGTCTTAGCCTATGTAAAATCCTTCTATGACAGCCAAGATTTGGACAAAAATGTGGGAGGCGACTGGTACTGTATGTGTCTCTCTTTTTTGGACCGAGGTGAGACAATATGAACAAAGGAAACTATTCACTGATACTCTAGATAACCAGGTCTTAATAGCCTTTCTTAATCGCTTATCATTTTACTGTTACAAATTACAACCTGATTAAAATTATCTTATGTTTTATTATTGATTTTGTCAATGGAATGGGGTTTAATTTCTTGCCAACGTCCTACTGTTCTGCTCCGAAGTCAACACAGCTATACTTAAGCATGTCAAATGGCACTTTATTTATAGAGGGAGCCCCCATGGCTCAGTGAGTATGGAACTTGCTAATTAACCAGGATATCGAAGGTTCTATCCCTTTGTTGGCTAAGAAAGTTTCTCTGCATTTTTGAGATCAGACGAAAAACCATGGTTCTGCGTGCCTGTTGGCATACACACAAAAGAACATAAGACAGTTGGCACTGGATAAAGAGTAGACGCAAACACTGCTACATATATCTGATAAAAATATCCCTCATCATAGCACACTGCATAGACATTAAATACCATAGAACTTCATTGTTTCAATAAGGGACAATATGTGACATTGTATCACCTTATTATTATCAGGGTTATAAAATTATATAATTATATTAATGTGATCTATTGATACACGAGAACTGGATGGGAGAAGTAGTTTTAGACATTGAGCAGATATTGATGCCTCAATTCTCCTGAGGCATAGGCAATAACTGGCCTTTTTATCATCAATATTATTATGTCAATTTATTTGTGTGATGGATATTGGATAATCAGTGAGTGCATGCAAGTTAATAACCTAGCAGTATGTACATGTATTTATGGCAGTAACCCATATTTCAATAAAATGCTCAAATTGTGGAAAGCGAGAGAGAGAGAGAGACAAATAGGGTTAACCTCCATTCGAGACTAACATATGGTTCAATTTTATTTCATTAATTTGCTTCCGTGTAGGGGTATTTAGCAATGCGGGGGAACTGGAGGACCCAGAGAAAACCCACAAGGTTGGACATGCACCTGGATGAGACGAAAAACCGAGGTCCCGTGTAAACATTGGAATGCACGTAAAAGATCCCTTGGCAGTTGGAATTCGATATAAGAGTAGGCGATAGTGCCGCTGTCCGGGCAAAATTTCCCTCATAGCACACTGTATGGTGTATGCCCGTCTTCATTAGCCCAGTATAGGAGCAGAACAGTAGGACGTTAAACCCCATTTCATTTCACGTAGAACCAGGGAATTGAAACCACGCCAGTTGACTCAATGGCAGACCTTTTAATACAACGCACACACGCTTACCATTTGGCCATCCAATGCCCTCCTCAAACTGTGGATTTCAATAAATACTGGTTGACAGTCAAACAGATCAATTTTGAATATGGTTTTGAAGTTGTTTTTCAATGTTTAATGCATACAAGTGAGGTATGGGTCAGAGTCCGGTTGGTCACAGTGCTCCCCCAAATTTTTGGGCAAATGCTATCAAGGCACTGAACACTCTTTGGTCAAATTCTAACAAGAATCTTCAAGACTATTATTCCAATCTATTCAAGAATATCACTAATATTATTAAAATATTCATATCCTTTGAAAAAACTATGAAAGTCTCTTTTTGTTATATTTAGATAAATCGATGTCTGGTGATTTTTGGACAAAAACATTAAAATTTGGGCACCTGAACCTGTGTCACATACCCTCAATCAAATTTAGTCACCATGCTGAATACTGAATACATTCATTAAATATTTTTTCCATAATCTACTTTGATTTCCACTTGCCAATTTCTGCATTATACACTACAAGATTTCGAGATTTTCTCGAAAAACCAAAAATTAGACCAATTCACAATTTTATACTTGAATGTCAAAAGGCGAAACATTGATTAATATGTACAGTACACCTATCATTAATATCGATAATACAGCATATTCTATCCTTTTTAGGTACGGTAATCTTTTTTTTTCTTAATAAAACTCTGAAATAAATTACAGAGTCTGCTAAGCTTACATGTAGGTAAATTGGTAGCTGTAATATAACTGTGTAAAATAAGCTTAGAAAACGACCTCTACACAAGGTCAAATTGAAAGTAGTTGTATGTTATTACTGTAACTGGAGGGGAAGAGTTGTAATTTGATCAAATAATTATAATTGGTCGTACAGCAAGATAGCTTAGGATATACCCAGACTTATTGGGTATCGGTAATTAAATTATAAGAGCACTGGATACGCAAACTAATAATTAAGTTGTATGATTGTCCGGAGGGTAGGATATAATAAGCCTATAGATTCTTGTATACCAATAACATTTAGTTGTTTAATCAAATCAACTTGTGTGTACATAAAAGAGACTGATCATGGAATAAGACTCTAACAAGACAATGGTATTTAACAAAACAAATACAGCAAAGGAAATGAAATGAAATGAAATGGGGTTTATATACAGCAAAGGTACATGTATTTACAATTCTCAGACAAAAACAAGCAAATTATTTGTTTACATGTGTACACTGCTCAAGTGGATTAAAAACAAAATGTCTAGAGAGAGAGAGAGAGAGAAAGAGAGAGAGAGCGAAATGGGGTTTAACGTCCAATCGACACAAACTAGGTCATTTTGGGACTAACACATGGTTCAATTTTATTTCAATAAATAGCTTGCGCATAGGGGTCTTTAGTAGTGGGAGGAAACCGGAGGACCCAGAGAAAACCAGGGAATCGAAACCCTGCCAGTTGATTCAATGACAAACCATATGATACAGCGCGCACATGCTAACCATTCGGCCATCCAACCCCCCAAAATGTCTAAAAATTGAAACTTGGCTATAGTATTTAAAAGAGAATGCAAATCAACGAAAATTCTCCCGGTTAAATGAGACAAAGGGAAATAATAAAAGAGATTATAATAGAACAGGATTGAGATCAAAGTGTTAGAAATACCAACATTTTAATTTCTGGATGATTTTTTTTATGAGGGGGTGGGGTGGGGGGCTTAATCGATCTTAAGTTGTACATGTAGCTCTTCTAAAAGAACCAAGACAGTGTTGACTGATGTTTTCAAAAACTCACATAAGTTTTGTGCATAATGACAGCTGATTCTAAGGGTTTTTTTTAATTTACAAACAATTGATAAAAATTCATGATCAAAACAATAACTTTTTAAAGATTTGGAGATTTTAACCATTTATTGACTGCACACGTATTGAATTTCCCATTTACAATATTAATTAAAATTCATATATGATTTCAATAATTACTTTTTTAGAAGTCCAGAAATGTGCAACACTAATCTTACTGGCAGCTCATGTAATCAAACATTTTGCCTGGAATTGGATGATTTTGGTCGCCATATGAAGCCTTATCAACAACTCAGTAGGACTGGCAAAAGGAGTAGACTCTTATAAAATTCAGTATTTGAATTAGCAAGTACAAAAAGAAATCAATCAAATCTCCTTCCATACCTTAAAAAAAATCATCCACACACCAACAATTTCACACAAGCACAAAAAACTCTTTTTAATGATAAGATTGATCAAATTAGGGAATGTAAATAAATTTCTTGCCGCTCAAGATATAATTCCTTTTCTTCCATTGATTTATTTTTCCTTCAATGGAATGAAAGCACTTTTTTTTTTATTGAAAGGCACCAAGGAGAATGGATGCTAAAACTGTTACTTGGTACGTCTGTCTGAATGTTTTTCTGGGGCAAAGAACTCCGAAATAAACATTCTTTAACAGACTTTTTTCATCTTGAACATTTGTTTGTCATTGTTTTTTTTATTTTATGGTTGTTTTCATTACATTTTGTTTTACTAGTAAACATTTACTGTCAGAGATTTCAGAAGCTATCCACCGATTCTTTCCGAAATCCTAATCACAAGCCTTGTTCCAAAAACAAAATCTTGAAAATCTGAACTTTTTGCTCTTAGAGATTATGAGGTTTCTTTCTAGTGTAAGATAGGGCAATGAAATAAATGTTTAAAATTACCAATATCTTACAAAATTCCCTTTAGTTTATTATTTTGATGAATTTTTATCAATTGCATTTAAATAACAAAGGTATGGTACAATTTTATTTCATTAATTTGCATGTGCATAGCAGAGGGAGGAAACAGAAAACCAAAGGACGCTGAAAAAACCCACAAGGTTAGGAGACACTACTTCTGTCACATATATGTTTGGGGTTGAAACCACACCACCTGACCCAATGACTAACCTTACGATATAAAGCACATGCATTAGATCTTTTGGGTTTCCAACCACCACCGCTGAAGTATGGTGTGGGGGTGACAAATGAAATGAAATGGGGTTTAACGTCCTACTGTTCTGCTTAAGCCATACAGTGTGCTATGAGGGAAATTTTGCCCGGACAGCGACGCTACGGGCTACTCTTATATTGAATTCCAACTGCCATTGAAGGATCTTTTACGTACACGCTAATCTGTACATGGGACCTCGGTTTTCTTTCCATCCGAACAACCAGACAGCTGTCCTTGTCAGGCCCTCTGTCCTGCGTCAATGCCCGAAAATCTGGATGAACTTTCTCGGCCAATGCAGGGATTGAATACTCAACCTCCAGGCTAACGAGCCAGTGTCTTACCCGCTTAGCCAATGTGGCCCCCTGCCAAAGATCAATTATGAGCTTATACATGTAACTAATTATAATCAGTTCTGATGGAAAAGCTACATGTATTAGTAGAAGACTTATCGTTGTCCTACATGTGTACATGTACATGTATACAACTGAATGAAAGTTGACAATTACATAGTATGTACGGGTACATATATTCATGACATAACATCTATTGGTACTGACAGCATTCCTGCATTCTGATATTGATTGTTTTTACAACTACATTTTGAAGAGTTTCACGACAGACAATCTATGAGAAAAAAATGACACACAAGGGAATCATTGAACAACAGTCACACAAGTTGATCTTCTTCTCTGTAGAGTTTACTTGTTGAGCATAATTAAATTAACTCTACTTGATGGCATGGTTACCATTTTTTATTTATGTACCGGTAACATAAACGAAGTATCATAATCAAGTATGCTTAGAGTACAGCATGTCTATATTACTGAGCGACGTATCAACTAGGCTTCTCAAGCAATAATGACTAGAGAAATCTAGTAGAAACGTCGCTCAGTAAATAAGCAGTATTATTTGTAGTCCATAGAATGTGACCTGTATATTCCAGCTCCATTAGTAAATGCCACTGAAACCTGACTTTAGTACTAAAAAATACAGGTAAATAAATATACCAGTATAGATTTAGACATTTTGGTAAGCTTATAAATAATCAAATTCTCAAAATTACATTTAACTGAAAACAGCTGATAGACATTTGCATTATTTGGACATTATCTAATTTTTCACTTCTTAATCTTCTAGATATAAAATCAAAAGTGTGTATGTACATGTATGTGTGTAGGCTCACCCATCACGCTTCATCGCCGCCGCCACATACATGTATGTGGTATCAAATAAACCAGCTAACCCTGTGGATGTTTTAGGCCATCGAATTTGGGCCCCGGACGGATCACTCCATCCCCATGTATCAAAGTAACTTCATGACCCCTTAAAGGTTTTAGGCCTTCAAATTAGTTCCCTGGACAAATTTGGGCCATGGGCAAAGTCGGATATCCTGCCATTCCAGCCTAAAATGTAAGCTTACTCCAACTGACTGCTTAACATGGATTGCCAAATTTGTCTCATAATTAAAATTAAATAAATGGGGTTTAATATCCGACTAGGCTTATGAAGATGGTCAATTGGTCCTACGGCAGACAGTGTGCTACATGTATGAGGGAAATTTTACCCAGTCAGCAATGCTACAGTTCACTCTTATCTCTGTCCAACTGTCGGGATTCTTTTACATGCATGCCAATGTGTACATGGGACCATGTTTTTCATCTGGGTGAAACGAAACGATTATATGATGTCCCTTGCCAGGCCTTTTATCTTGCACTACTGACAAGGGGTAAGCATGCCAGAAAATCATGATGAACTTTCTCGGCAAACATGTGTGAGAGAGAAATGGAAATGAAATGAAATAAAATGGAGTTTAACGTCCTACTGTTCTGCTCCTAACCTGGGCTAATGAAGACGGGCATACGCCATACAGTGTGCTTTGAGGGAAATTTTGCCTGGACAGCGGCACTACGGCCTACTCTTATATCGAATTCCAACTGCCAAGGGATCTTTTACGTGCACGCCAATGTGTACACGGGACCTCGGTTTTTCGTCCCATCCGAACGACTAGACAGCTTTCCTTGTCAGCCCCTCCGTCCTGCATCACTGACAAGGGAGAACCACGCCGGAAAATCTGGATGAGTAGAGTAGAATGGTGAGATTGAAGAGTAGAATGGTGAGATTGTAGAGTAGAATGGTGAGATTAAAGAGTAGAATGGTGAGATTGTAGAGTAGAATGGTGAGATTGAAGAGGAGAATGGCGAGATTGTAGAGTAGAATGGTGAGATTGAAGAGGAGAATGGTGAGATTGTAGAGTAGAATGGTGGGATTGAAGAGGAGAATGGTGAGATTGTAGAGTAGAATGGTGAGATTGAAGAGGAGAATGGTGAGATTGAAGAGGAGAATGGTTGAGATTGAAGAGTTCCGCATATGGACCAGCTATTTTTAACTTGTTATATCTGGTGAGATTGTAGAGTAGAATGGTGGGATTGAAGAGGAGAATGGTGAGATTGTAGAGTAGAATGGTGAGATTGAAGAGGAGAATGGTGAGATTGAAGAGGAGAATGGTTGAGATTGAAGAGTTCCGCATATGGACCAGCTATTTTTAACTTGTTATATCTGTTAAAGTTTAAGTAGATCAACCTGATTTTAGGCTACTAATATGTGTAAAAGCTTATACCGAGGTTGGTGAGGTTGAAATGAGTCTGTATTATAGGTTAGGATGGATAAATGGGTGAAATAAACTGTTTAGATAGAGAAACTGGGCTGAGGTTTTAGAAAGAGAGAAATGGAGTTTAATGTCCATTCGACATAAATTATGTCATTTCAAGACTAACATATATGGTTCAATTTTATTTCAATAATTTTCCTGCGCGTAGCCGTAGGGGTCTTTAGCAGTTGGAGGAAACCAGAGGACCCAGAGAAAACCCATGAGGTTGGATAGGCCGCATAGCGACCCTACTTGTCATGTTCAAATGGGGAATAAAAACCATGCCACTTGACTCAATGACAGACCTTGTGATTTCATGCACAGAGGTTAAACTACTAGACTCCCCACTGGAAAGTGTATAAAAAGATAATACATAGGCTACAATTTGACAAAAATGTAGCCTATGGATGGTAGTTTGGTACTCCAGAATATATAAAGCTTATTAATATTATTAGAATAAACAATTATTCATAATGCACTTACCACAACAACAACATATTCCGGTGGAATTGTGGTGGTTAATTCTTCCTGGGGTAGCCCTCTTTTCTTCCTTAGCTTTATTTCTTCTTCCTTCTTTCTATCCCCTCTAGTGACATGTGTCACGTGATCTTTCAACCCGAGCTGTCTTTTCTCACGATAAAATCCATCTTGAAATCTTTTAGAAATAACATGCGACGTAAGTAAGTCAGTCACTGGTGTTTTGTCATGATATTGGAGGCTATACACCAGGTTTACAGCCTTAGCATCTATTCTATTTCCTGAAAAATAGTAAATTATAAAATGCGTGGGATTGTCGTAACATTTGTTTTCATAATTTGCGGTAAGAGAATTTACGCGCATGAAACATCGCGCTTTCAAAGCGCATTGCTGAAATGTAACGGCAAATATTCATATTAAATGTAAATTTAAATATAAGATGGTTTAACCGCCCAGAGATATAAAGGACTTACCCAGAAAAATAGAATAGCAGGATATTGTCAATAAAAAATGACAACAAGCCATAAACCGCTTGTTGGTTAACATTTCCACCATATTTAGCCATGCGCATCTCATCGCCACGCGCTAGAACCTACTCCGACAAACAAAATAGTGCATTGCCTAAACTATACTTTGCTGTGCATAATGATCATGACATATATAGTATCAATAATTTTAGATCGAGAACGAATATTTTAAAACAGAATTACAATTAGTATAAACGAAATTTTGTTATTTACCAGAAATATATTATTCCGCTTTAGTATATTCGTGACATCACATGTAAACAAATAGAAAGTAAATATAGAAGGGAGGTAATTTTCAGGGTAAAACTGGATTTACCCCCCATTGATTGAATCTTAATACACTCAGCCTTTCTTAGTCCTTCGGGTGGGTTATTTTGGTGGCGACGTTACTGCACATTCATTACGTGATGGAAAAACACGCAGATACAAAGCAATATCTCTCGGCCTTTTAATTGTGTAAAATGTGATCTTGACAAATTCCCTTTTCCAAACCCTAAATAAATACTTGAAACTAAAGGATGACATTCATCCGTCAAAACAACCTACTTACTGTGATACTATTTTTATTTATACATAGGCTATATTTTTTTCTGTGATATAATTTAGCCTGTCTCGAAATAATCACCATATGTTTGGCGCAATATAGCCCAGTTGGAGCTGACGTGCCATAAAATAACATTTCATTTCATTTCAAAACAACCATAAAGAGAAACCCGACAAAATGCCATGGTCTATAATTTTAATAAAGCCAATTAGATCTGTAAGTTTTATGTGTATTTTATCTAAAGCATTTAATTAGGTACATGTTATTCTTCCTTAATGTACCTGACCGTAACTCGGGTACCAAAATCTTGCGTATTTAGCCCAATTTTTTTTCATATTCATTCAATATTAAATCTTTGTTTGAAAATTCGTAACAATCTTCGAAAATCACCCCAAATCATCTAATATGTACTGTGTACAGATTAAAGTTGACTGTTTAGATAACGAACGTCCAATTTACTTTCCTGATCGCTATTCAAAATTAAACAACCCAATTGATTTGGTGACTACATATTCTGAGGTTACTTTGGAATAGTGATCGGAAAAATAAATGCTTGAAAATTGGACACTCACTATCAAAATTAAACCGCCAGCTTTGAACTAAACACAAATAAGATGACTTTAGACGATTTTTACGAATTTTCAAACCGAGATTGATATTGAACTGTTGAATCAAAATCAGAATTTCATTGATAATTAATACATGCGCCCTTCGAAGTCTGGACAGAGAAGGCATCTTATTCAATGTAAAAGACCAAAAGAGCAGCCCTCAAGTGTCAAAGGGTCAAACCGATCCCCAACCCAATTCGCCCATACCAAGATAAGACGACTATGCTGTTCTTAATGGACGTCTTGATGCAATAAAACATGTAATATATTGTTATTGATCGTTATTTATGTATATATATCGTATGATGTTCTTAATGGATGTTTTGATACAATAAACTCTTATTACTGAGTCAAAAACCAATGTAGGCCATGTAGAATAGGATAATGTGTGTATGATACGGAACTGAAATATTGAATATCGATATTTCAATTGCAACCAAGTAGTGTTTCATCAAATTGCTCTTTCTTAAATTGCCTGCTTCCGCATCTGTCGTTTCCAATTATAAAATTAGAGCGTCTGCTCTTTTCTCGGTAATAATGTCTAGAAAATAAAACATGTTAAATTCAATAGGGCAACATCATTCAAAATTACGCATTTCAAATAAAGACAATAATGGTGGATTTTGGGTAGATGTAAGTCTTGTAATCTAGAATTTTGATGTTTAGAAGAACTAGAAAAAAAAAAAAAAAAAAAAAAATATAAACCAATTTGGGAATTTTGATGTTTCGTAGTAAATCAGAAAAATCCCAGGGGCATCATTTTAGATTAGTGTTAGGATAAGGATTAATATGAATCCACTGGGTCTAACTGGTTTTTCTCGACACCAGCGTAGTTGGTGGATAGGGTTACCAATGGGGACTCCTGGTCAATGGTGCTGACCATTTTCATGAAAAAAAAATAGAAATCTGAAAAGATCTCAGAATTGTGAGATCGGTCATTAGCCGAGGAGTTTTTGAAAATGGGGTGGGGGTAGGGTTATGGCCTTGTCGGGGAAGGCTATGGTCTTGTCGGGAATGAATGCTCAGTTTGTCGGGAAGCGTCGCGCCGTCTGTCGGGTTTTGAATAGTTTTAATAATATGGAAGCGGAAAGAAAGCAGTCCAGTCAATGATGAACACGTTCGCCATCTGAATAGAACTAGCACGTACACATGGCCTTTCTCAGTTCTTGAGTACTGTGTTCCTGTATACTGGCATCCAACTCCATGCACCGGACGAGCCCAGTGATAGAAGTGAGCAGTTGAAAAGCAGTATAAACCCTCTGTTTATGCCTTCCCTATCCATACATACACTTCATATGCTACCTGTCGATGCCAGAGGAGGAGATATAGATATTGATAGATACCACTGATAATAAATTGGTCATTCATATATTAAAAGTATATAAATTTTACAAGTTCAAAAAGTCTTCTATCTTGATTCTAGATCTATCTATCTTAGATATGGATAAAAAATGTGAACTGTCATATAATGAAAAACGTGGCAAAAGTAAATCGTAATACGGAATATATAGATTGTAAATTTGAACTCTTTTAAAATGGTCATTAATATATTAAAAGTAGATAAAGTATATACAAGTCTTCTATACATCTGAGATCTGGAAATAAAATGAAAAATGTGGCAAAAGTAAATCGTTCGACCTGTTCTTGTTTTCGTAGTAATAGAGCTTGTATTTTAAAGATGACTTTTTACCAGTTTTTATGCTGCAACTGACAAAATTTACTACCCACTCCAAATTACTAGAAAGTATTCGAAATGCCTGGAAATCGCGTCTACGGCCGTCTGGTTTTCAAAATTTTCTGCGGGAGACCCCCCAGACCCCCCGTCGGACGCTTCGCGCCTCCGGCGCTCGCGGGCGGACATCTTCGCCACCCGCAGCTCCACGGAACCTAAAGAAATATATTTGTCGGGAAAATATGCTGCCGGAAACCCCCACCCACATCCAACAGAGTTTACACCAATCTCTTTCCACCTTTCTGGTCGATGCTAAAATGTAATTTGTTTATTGTGTTCCATATCCAGATTTAAGTAGAAATCGAAGAAAAAGAAGTCTCACAAACTCGACTGAGCTACTACGATATGGATTAATCGTCTATTCATTCTTTTGATGATTTAGCCATAAACTTTCGCTATTTTAGATGCAGAGAATTTTGATAGTTTTGTGGCTACTAAATGGACTCAGAGATTGTTATCGTCAACCAATGGACTATGAGAATTGATATTTTAAACTAATCTACTATGATAATTGTGATATTTGAATCTAATGGACTGTGTGGATTGTGATATTTTGAACTAATGGGCTGTGACTGAGAGTTGTGATATATTGAACTAATGGACTGTGACTTGTGATATTTCAAACTGATCTACTGTGAAAATTGTGATATTTTGAGCTAATGGACTGTGACAGTTGGGATATTTGAAACTAATGGACTGTGAGAATTGTGATATTTTGAACTAATGGACTTTCATACTTTTGAAGTCTTGTAGTAGGGAACTGTAAATCTTGTGAGAATTGTGATATTTGAATCTAATGGGCTGTGAGAATTGTGATATTTTGAACTAATGGACTTTCATACTTTTGAAGTCTTGTAGTAGGGAACTGTCAATCCCCTAATGTGAGAATAGATTGTAAAATTTGAATGTAATGGACTGTGAGAATTGTGATGTTTTGAACTAAGGAACTATAACTGAGAATTGCGATATTTGAAACTTGTGGACTTTGAAAATGAAACGTTGGAAAATGGTAAAACTTGCGAATATCAGTATTTTAAAAGTCAGATTTCTCAGTTTCTACATCTTTGGATTGATGAGATGTCTGGTTATAGTCGATTAAACTATTAAGTGTCAGTTTTCAGTTGTTTAACGAACTGTAACTGTTTTACACAACTGGATTATTAAATCTTTTAACATACTGCCAATGGTATACATACACAGGACATTGGTTTTCTGTCCCATTCAAACAACTAAACCCTCCATCCTGTATTAATGACCAGGGGAAACTAGTCTGAATTATCCAGAGGAACTTTCTCAGCCAACATTAGGATCAAACCATGATCATGAGCCAGCACCATAAATTATCAAGCACTATAATACCATACAATGACACCATTTATTAGCGAATTCTATACGAAATATTTTTATAATAATATAATAATAATTAAAAAAATGTTACAGAAATACATGTACATAAAAATACATAAGCATTAGACAAGTAATAAAGACATATCATTTACAACTCTTGGATAAAATTACATTAATAAAATACATTACAAAATAACCATAGGCACAAAAATACTACATTTAATTTTTTTTCCATACAAATAAAGGGGAATAATAAAATGTATATTGCAATGTGTTAAATCAGCTAGAAAATAAAGAGGGGAATATTGCTGTAGAGCTATGACTAGAATTCACCAATATTGGCCTCTAACAGTTGTTGGAGTCCAGGGACTTCTTATTTAAATGGTCAAAGAAAGACAAGGAAAGGAATGGGATTCAATGTCTTATTAAAACAATACCTCAGTTATTTTGAGACTAACAACTGTTAATTTTAATATCTATAGTCATGTGGGAAATGCACCAGGTATTTTTGCCTACCCGTCTTCTTGGACTTTCTACTGCCAATTTGTACACAGGGTCTTGCTTATACCATACACAGAACCAGACACTTTCCTGGTCAGCTACATAGGTGCAACCTCTGACAAGTGGGAACCCGGCCTACAAAAATCCCTAAGATTCTTCTTGGCCAATGCCATGATTTGATCCGGGGCATTTAGCGTCCAGACCAAACAAACATTGAGCCCTGTTCTTAGAAAGTTGCAAATAACTGATAATGGTATACCCAAATACACCAAAATTTCATTTGATGCAAGTAGACCTATGGGTATTGTCTTGTTTTTGTTCTAGGCAATAGTTGAAAGAATAATTTTTAAAAATTATATAAACTGACAATTAATTCATCATATTATTTTAAAACAAGAAATGTTGATTAAATGAATTAGTTTTAAATAAATTTGTTACAAGAAACCACTAAATGTACATTTATAAAATTCTACACAACAGCTAGCAAGTTTTTATAAAACAGTTTGTAATGAAATGATTTAATAAAACTAAAATAAAATATGATATATGTAAATATAAAAGTTTCTTAAAATTCTACAACAGCTAATAAGGTTTTAAAAAACGGTATTTTTACTGGTATTGTGCCTCCATTGTAGTTTATGAGTGTGAAAGTGTGGAAATTCTTTTAGGAGACCAAGTCACTCTCTTGCTACTAACAGCAAAATCATGTCTTTGCCACCAGGAACTGATCACTGCTTTTCCAGTTCCCCTCTCACCCCCACAAAAAAAAGCCAATTCTGAGTGGTGCAACAGCAGATATAACAAGCGATTTTGATGCCGACTGTTAGCCAAAACAGTTTCCTATAGAGGAGAATTGGTCTCTTTGAAAAGACATTCAATACCTAAACACACCTTTTTACAGAACACACTGTATTGGTAATACAATCTGATTAACATACAGATCTATATTCCGTTTCGTTATTTTATACTTTTGTTGGCCACACGACACAAACTAGGTCATTTCAGGACTCACATATGGTTTAATTTTCTTTCAATAATTCGCTTGCGCGTAGGGGTCTTTAGCAGTGGGAGGAAACCGGAGGACCCGGAGAAAACCCACGAAGTTGGACAGGCGACCCTACTCCTTGTCACGTACAACCGGGGATTCGAAGCCACGCCACTACATGAAGATCTGACCGGTTGTTGTGATAGGTCACGTCAGAGGTCATACGAGCGGCAAGTGAGCCTATGACGTCAGACATTTGATTAACCAATCGGCATTAGTGTTACTAGTGGATTACCCACAGTTTCGTGCAAAACACACCTAAAGCTCGCCGTAACAGACCGGTTCATTGGCTAATAACTCACACTATTCAGAACACGTCAATGGTAACAACTCTTCCAGATCCTAGTGTAGTAAAGACAAGTAAAACAAAATTTTGAACTATAAAAATGAAACGAAATAGGATCTGTGTTTTAATGAGATTGTTGGTAATACTGATTTATTATACCATGATACACAGAATTAAAACAGTTCTACACTAAAGGCCAACAGAAAAGTTATCTACTCTCTTGCTTACAACAAACATACAAATTTCTGACATTTATTTAATTATGAGACGTATACAAAAAATCTGAGCAGATTCAAAGGAATTTACAAAATGATTTGAGACTGAATGCTCATATAATTAATTAAACAGAGATATTTTAAAGATTCACTGGCAAAATACTCTGTTTTCATTGGCCAATACTATGTTTTCACTGGCAAATCCTCTCATTTTATTGGCCAATAAATAACAGTATCTTAAAAATATGTCTGAGAAAAAAGGTCACTCAGTGATGATTTTTTCCACACTTATAAAATATTTTTATAGTGTAGTGTGAAATCTCTTTGGTTATTTGTTGCTATTTATTCTCAACCATAGAGAAAATCAAATTTTATTCTACTGCAAATACTAAATGAACAGTGTATGAAACTAATAGCCTCCCTTTATATCTTTGCCAGTCAGATTTGTCATTGCAGGATTGGCAATATGGTTGATACAAGAGCCTGCCTGATAAACGGAACTTACAGATCACAATGGTTATAATTTAGATCAGGAGACAGTATTTTGACAATAATATCATATAATAAAACAGACTACCATCAGGTTCCAAAATATACAAAACTTCTAAAATTAGACATCATCCACCACCACTTCTTAAAGTGGGCTAACCCCTACACATTTGAAACCAAGGGGGGCAACTGGTAGCGTTTGCCACAAACCTAACATTTTATTTACAGGTCACAAGGAAACATTTAAAGCTGAAACTTTTAATAAGTTAATATTGTCATTGAATTAGAATCGGAAAAAAATATAATCAGTCCAGACTCCAGAGCATTTTGAGTTCCGTAGTCACCTGGTAACGGTAATGATCTGGCATGTATTCAAGTAGTTCACATATTCAAGGAAATTTGTTTGAAATGTAGCACAAAATTACATTAAAGGGAATTCTTTATTAAACATACACATTGAGTATTAGCCTACTAGTAAACATCAGAGTATGGGATCCTAAATAATTATCACGACACAAAACTTTGATCCTAAAATTTGAAACTTTGAAAAATATTTCAAAATATATTCTTTAGAACAATAAAAAATATGATTCATAATTAAAAAAACCAAACAATTTCCTCTACAATCAATTGCTGCTTTATTCTTATGACAGTGTGGGAAATAAAGGGAAATAACTTTGAGTTTGACACCAATTAACGATTTCAATGATAAAGATACAGCCTCTGTAACCCATAGTGACAAGATACCAATAATCTGTATATTGGTATCCCAGGAACTCTGGGTGAAAATAAAATTTTGATTTGTGCAGCATAAAATATTCAGTTTTCAATTGTGCCAGCCAGTTCATTTTTGACTGTATTGTGTTTGTCTGGGATTAGCAGGATTTTAGTAGCTCCAATGTAGTTATTTTGTTTTAAGGTTAAATGCTTTAAAATTCTGAATTTACTTAATGTATACTGATTGACATAAATTCTCCAGTCGGTCAACTGAACTGCCAGTCAGTCAAGATTGACAATTAGGACGAAATGATGGTCTGGGTAACAGAGGCTAATAATGAAAAAAAAACTAATGAAAGTGGTTTGCATGTTAATTTCTGCGTCTCCATGAATAAGATAAATGGTAAAACTGGCTTCGAGTACCGTGTATGGTTAAACATCAGATGATATGATGAAATATATAATATATGGTATATAGAAAAAATGAGCAATTATCAACTGACAACATTGAATATATATAATAATTATCATCATAACATTAATTAAAATTCACGTAAATATTCAAAATTAATATTTAAAAAAAATTAAAATCTCAAAACATCTTTAATTCATTAACAAATCACAATTTTTACTGGAAACAATTACGGGTTTTATTCTAAAAGCACAATGTTTTGACAAGTATCCTTTTATTGGTTAAAGATACATTATGGGAGATTAGACAAAGAGCTGGCAGTTCTCACTATATTAGTAAAAAACTAGATAATGTAAATGGAATTTGCTGAAAATTTCAGTCAAATTGATCCACTCTGAACCGAGAATATAGCATTTGAATTTTTGGCCTAGCCACGATCATCATTACAAAGGCCGGTACGATAAAAAACATAGTCTCAATTATCCATTTTATGATTAAATCATGAATGAAAGTTGAGCAGCAAATCGGATTCTAATCCAGTAGATAATGCAGGCTAGCGATGATATCAAGAGTTGATTATGGTCTTTATAAGTTAATTAATATCTAATAGCTTAGATAACATTTCAGGCCTAAAGAAAGACCTGCAATAGGCAGATTTAGCTCTTGCATAATGTATGTTTAAATGATAACAATCAGAGGATACTTGTCGCAACATCTTGCTTTTAAAATAAAACCAGTGACTGTTTCCCATAAAATTTGTGTTCGATTAATGTATTTCTCAATCGCTAAATACCACTAAATATTATCTTTAATTCTTTATTTAGATTAGAAACATACAAGACAGTATTAATTCTGATGATTTCATGATGATTAGTGTCCACGAAACAATCACACAGCGAGATGCACTAAGAGAAGAGTTAATTATTTTAGTGGTGAATTTTAAGCCATGTTATGAAAATAATAATCATCCGTCATAAATCCTATTCTAATAATCAATAATAACAAGTTTTTAGTATAAAATGATGGAATTAATAAAAAATAACATTGAATGGAAGATTTGCCTCTACAGTGGCTTCATCATGCACATGTTAATACTTGTTACAAATAGGTTTAGTAAATAAAGATATATTTCCTCAGTATTTGTGATCCTACATACTTAAAGGGACTATCCCGATTTGAACAATGTTTCAAAAATAAAAGTCTGAGTTCGTATGAAATTTAAGCGCCAAAATATAGAGGAATGGTGTATTCACCCTGCCTCAAAATTTCAGCTCAAAATAATGAGTTGTTTGGACTTGAACGTCAAAAATGCTTATTCGGACACGTAACTCTTTTAAGATTTCTGTTCAATTTTTTCGTTAGGTGACCTGATAATCTATCGCCGTTCCTTTAGAGGTCTATACAGTGAATGACCCATGTGCCTTACTGGATACCGAAAGGTAAATTTCACCAACACATTGTTTTTATAAAATAAAAGTCTGGTTTATCCAGACACAGCATAATACAGCTTGGGACACCCGTCTCCATTTCCAGATGAAGACTGACGGGTGTAAGTTGTTTGAAAACATATCACAAATATTGAATTAGTTGCTCACAAATATTGAATTAGGAGCTTCAACACAAAATTAAGCAGTTTTATTCTCCAAAATATTATCGGGATTGGCCCTTTAATGATATCCAAATTATCAGGATAAATATTTGCTACTTACAATGTTATATATTTCACAATAATATATAGAAAATGGTTTGGCAATCTACAAATCTGCACTACTGTTAATAAGCAATGTCAGACTCAATGGTTGATTATTTGTAATAATTAACTTGGTTAATTTGTGGTGAGCTTGTCAAGCAATTTAGATCTACAATTCAACTTTTCCAGGTCATTACAAATAACATACTTACGGGTAAAAAAAGTTTAGAATCGCTGACCTAATAAAACTGTTTTTAATCCGTGTAAAAAATCAATAGATGGTCTGATTAATAGGCAACAGTTTTAAACAATCATATACTGGGTAATTCTCTCAGAAAAAAATACACCAATTTGACCCAATAAAACTTATAGGATACATATTCAAACATAGATCTGTATTTAATCAGTTTAGAGGATCAAAAAGATGACCTAATTATACTTGAGGGAATATATCTTTAAACAATTATATAATTATCTCATAAAAAATACACCCATTTGGTTTGTGTACCACTGGCATAATGTATGTATATGTTGTCTATGTCATATTAAAATTACACAAGAGATTGATACCATTTAGATTATTATTTTGAGGTCTTTTAAGGTACTTAATAAAAATGTAAAATTTGAATAAAAACTCACTTTATTATTTTTTTTAAAAAAGACTTATCTTAATACATTATATCATATTTGTAAAGACACATGTTTTGACTAGGTCATAAAAACATAAATCCATAAAAGCACAGTTCAGTTAAAGCATGATTCAAATTCATCGAAAAGAAAATAAAGTAAAGCTGTGAGTCTTGGAAATAAACAAAGTAATGGCACCGAACGCAAAACATTCTCCACATTTGTCCCATTTATAGCAAAAATTTATTCATCAGGCATTCACATAATCCATATAAAGACCGTAGTTTGCCCATAAGATTGACATATAAAAAGTTCCACATGTGCAGAAGGCTACTACTAATAAATATACATATAAAATAACCATATCTTAGTTTCAAATATATTTTTTAAAAACTTTAATTTCTGAGGATCCGTTTGCAACATGCAAAATCTACAATTTTAATGCCACATTATGAAACATTACAAATAATAAATGTGGCGTACCTTTTTTCACAAATTAATTTACTCTCAACAACGATAAATGGTACCAGTAAGTCGTTTGGTCCAAATTTACATCAAAAACCATTAAGATTCTAGAACTCTAATAATAAATACAAAACATTATTTCTTTTTAACTGAATAAGAATACTGCTTAATTTGTTGTTTAATCAAAACTAGCTGCAGAAAAAATAGCTCTCATTTACGAAATCAATAAACAATATTCTTCATTCTGAATCAACAGCTCGTCGTGGAATTAAATCTATTTAAATGTCAATGTTTTACATTAAGGCCAAACCAATTAACTTTTAGTTCTTCAGGAATGGAATACCAGTTAAAATTTTACTTCAGATTTCTTAAAAACAATAAAATTTAGAAAACAAAAATAAATTTTGGTTTTTCTGAATAGCATATAGATCAAGTTTTTATGTTTTGAAATATAAAACAAAAAATCCTTGCTCACAAGAGGCTATTCAATACCATGAAGAACTAAAAAGTAAATTATATTGGCCTGATTGGTGTAAAGATCTTTTTAAAGTTATAAGTTCATTTCATGGCTAAAATACAAGTCAAAAATCACCTTAAATATCTCTCTTATAAAACTTGAGTATAAAGTGCAAGTTCTTATTAATTTCTAATTTATACAAAAGTTTTTGTCTCTTCATACCTCAATTGACTATAAATACTCTTTGATCATCAGACAAATCATAATATTTCAAATTCTACATCCATTCTTATCTAGGTCACAACAAGACAACCCATTAACAGTTAAAAAAAACTGCATATCAATGGAATATTACAATCTCTCTGGTACTGTAGCAGGAAGTAGACATGTACATCTTGTCTCTCTTCGTCACAAGACATTCCATTGTTTTTCTTGTCTAGTAAATTTATCCAGCAGTTAAATTTGTTCTTAACATTTTATAAAAAGTTTTTCGATATTTTACTGGTAATAATTACCACCTCCACTATATCCACCACGTGAAGGGTAGGGTGATTTTTCTTGTTTTCTCGCCATATCATAAACTATATCATCTGGTTGGGGTACGAACAAGTTCCGTAAAATATGAATTAATACTGATCCAATAATTACACAGGTCAGCTGAAAGACAAAGGGCAATAATACAATTAATAAGAAATCAATCATAAAATAAATGAAATGAAATGAAATGGGGTTTAACGTCCAACTGAATCATAAAATAATACACCATATAAGCTTCACAAAGCTGCTCGGGAGGAAATGAAACAGGGTTTAACTTCCTACTGTTCTGCTCGGACTGGGCTAGTGAAGACGTGCATACGACACACAGTGTGCTATGAGGGAAATTTTGTCCAGAAGCAGCGCTATGGCCTACTCTTATATCGAATTCTAACTGCCAAGGGATCTTTTACAAAATTACATGCACATTAACAGGTTCAAAGGTGGACCTCAGTTTTACGTACATGTGAACGACTACACAACACTTTAAGTACTTGTCAGTCTAAGGGGGAATCAGGCTTAAAAAAAAACTGAGATACGTCTGGGACCCTGAAAGGATTCAAAGCTAAGATATTATAATAATGAGTCCAGTACCCTGAAAAGTGGAAATCAGGCCTGAAAAGTACCCCGGATTCCTCTGGGACAGTAATCTTACCGGCAGGGAACAAAATAACCAGATTCGCAGCGCAGTTTGCGCTCCATTTCCTATGTTACTGTGAGTCAATGCAAAAATTGATTAGTGAATCGTTTTTATCAGATATAGTACCTTAAATTTTAAGTATTATTGCCTCAAAATTCAATTGGCAATAAGAAAACCTTTCACAGTTACTCCAAAAGAGTGAACCTATCCTTTCTATACTACATTTTACAACACAGCGTTCAATTTGGGATTCAGTCTGTTTTCCATCACGCTTATCCAGATATAATAAATGTATGAAAATATTGGTCATGCCGCATGTCTTCACTCTTGTCTCTATATAATTGTCTGATCGTAAAATATACATGATTTTCGATGTTAAATAACTTTTCCAATGATCAAAATAATGCTTGAAGTTTGACATATTTTACGTAACTAGTCCGAAGATGTCGATTTGTGACACTTAAATTTTGACAACGCGCGCTTCTGTCAGTCTCCTATTCACAGCAATTTCTGCACGATAAAACATAATAAAATACTATTGTGAATGTTCAGAGCAGGTTGAATGAATAATGCTTTATTTACATGCATTTTTAATTAATTATGCATAATTTTAAACTCATGACAGCGATGTAACCAAGGTGGACAAAATTTCACCAAAGTCTTCGAAATTCATTGCCGTGGGGGTAATTCAAACAACATAACATCAACACGAAGGTGTTTAGCACCCCTTGTGAATCGCAATTGTGACATCAGTATCTCCCAAGCTGTGCACAAAATATGAATTAAAAAATTACTATTTTCTAAAATAACTGCCAAACTTTACCTTACTGTAATTTATAGGCTATTTATTTATAGTAAATAAAAAGTAAACTGTTACATTTAATTAATATTTAGTATTCATGATAGACTGTAACTGCACCAAAATTTATTAAAACTGTTTCACACTGCTATCCAACTGTCGAAAGTTATTTTGATCCCTGCTTACCGGTTACTGCTTGACTACCATGGACCCCTTGAAGTTGTGAAATATGGGTACTAACCTCTATGACAAATAATGCTATAGCTACACCCACAACCACACCAACATATTTAGTAAAAAATTCAGATAACGCCTGTTTACATCCCTGTAAATATAAACATAATTATACATCACTGTTCATAAAAACATAAATATAATACATCACTGTTAATATAAATATAATATTATATATGTTTACATCACAGTATAAACATAATATTATACATGTATACATCACTGTTAATATAAATAAAATATTATACCTGGTTACATCACAGTTAATATAAACATAATATTACACATGTACAGTATACATGATGCGGGAGGTTGTTTTTTTTTTTTTGTCTTTATTTTGTCAAAATCTAGCTCGATTTTCATTTTTGAGAAACACGTACAATTATTATAAATTTAATATTTAAATTAGTGTTAATATAACCATGTTTACATCTCTTGTAAAATACTGAGCAGAAAAATCATTAACATATATATTTCTTAGATACAGACAGATGGCTGTGTGAAATCAATATACATGTACATGTAAACCAATGTAAACTTAAACAGGCATTATGAAGAGCTAAATATGCAGATCTTTTTGTAGGCCTTAAATCTTACCTAAACTATGAATTAGACATTTATTAACATAAGACCATAATCAACTCTCTTGGTCACGAGATGGTTCCGATATTAATTGATTGATTTCATATTAAAATGGTGAAGCAGAGCCAAGCTTCGAACAACCTGTATGGGCCTTACAATCAATGCACACATCTTGTCCAACCTTCAAAGGCTAATATCTTTGCTCAGAATAAAGTAATTTGAATGAAATTTTCAATGTATTCATTTTGCATAATCTATTTTTGAACTAATATAGGAAGAATGGCTATCTCTTAATCTAAATCGTACATAATGTATCTTTAAAGGAGCATTATGTAAGATTAGATAAAGAGCTGACAGTTCTCACTATAATAGTTTAAAAATAGAAAATGAAAAGGGGATTATGTTGAATATTTCAGTCAAATTACTTCACTCCGGACCTTGTTAGAAGGTGCAAGTCATTACACATACACATGTTAATCTTGCAGGATATTTTTTGACTACATCTGATAATAAACATATCCCTAAATAACTTTGAAATATCTTTATAATAGGCTACAGAATGAAGTTGTGAAAATACAACTCGTGTCCAGGAACAAATCTCCTAATATTTAATCTAATTTAGGTTTTGTGAGTTAAAATCTTCATACCAGATCATTCAATGAATTCAAGGTTATACTCTAATTCAATACCTACCGTTTTATGTATTTTCGGGTTTGGTGTTCGTGATTGTGCCACTACATCTCTTCCTTCGTACATGGAACATGTGTACGCCACACCTTGAGCATTTTGATATCTCTCGTAGTCTTGGCAACAAGACAGCGGCGTTTGATGGTCACGCTTTACATCGTTTTTTTGCCAGTACGATTTATCATAGTCTAAAAAATTCTCACCTCCACAGCAATTCAACTGAAAAAAAAATAATTACAGTACACATTCCAAATGGAATGGAATGAAATGAAATGGGGTTTAATGTCCCAATGTTCTGCTCCGAGTGGGTTAATAAGACGGGCATACGCTATACAGTGTGCTATGAGGGAAATTTTGCCCGGACAGCACACTACGGCCTACTCTTATATCGAATTGAAACAGACAAGGGATCTTTTACGGGCATCCTAATGACTAGACAGCTGTCCTTGTCAGGTTCTCTGTGCTGCATCTTTGAAAAGGGAAAACCACGATTGAAAATCCTGATGAACTTTCTCGGGCAAACCAGCGACCTCCAGGCTAGCGAGCCGTCTTACTCACTTAGCCGCAGAAAACAATGAGGATAAGCTGGTGACTCTACTCCCTGTCCTGTATGAGCCTGGAATCGACAGATCCGATGATCTGAATCACTCAATCCAGTAGCAATATTGTCTATAAATGGGAAAAAAAACCATCCTAATTGACATCAATTATATCTGATCAGCGAGATGTCTTGATTTCATGGTACAGGTAATTCAGGATTTGATTGAATATTGTATAATTACCTCTGACTGCATGAGATCTATAATCTGTGTTGGTCTGTCTTGGAACCCCGTGTATTTTTGTTGGATATAATCAGCTACTATAGTGCCAGTATTCCTCAACTGTAAAAAAAAAAACCAACCAAACTATGTAATATTTCACAACACTAAACTAAACTGTTTCAATGACATTTAGTAACTGCAATGGAGAGAGAGAGAGAGAGAGAGAGAGAGAGAGAGAGAGGGAGGGAGAGAGAGAGAGAGAGATGAGGTTTAATGTGCACTCGACACAAACTAGGTCATTTTGGGACTAACATATGGTTGAATTTTTCATTTCAATAATTCGCTTGCGCGTCGGGGTCCTTAGCAGTGGGAGGCATAGAGCTGGGGGGTTGGGGGCACCAAATGCTGTGAAAATTTGGGCACACAATTGTACTTTGTAAAAGTTGTATACAAAAAATATTGTCTTCTTGAATGTGTCCAATTTAACAGCGAATTTATTATTATTATGTAACATACTAAGAACCTAACTAAATTTTTTAGGCACCAACCACCACCGCCCCCCCCCCAGTCAAAAATTTCCCCGTACGCCTATGGTGGGAGGACACAGGAGGACCCCGAGCAAAATCCACGAATTTGGACAGGCTACCCTACTACTTGTCACATAATAACTGAATACATCTACCCTCTCATGAGTATCTTATTTATAGGGGTCCTTAGCAGTGGGAGGAAACCAGAGGACCCTGAGAAAATCCCAAATTTGGACAGATGACCCTACACCTTGTCACATAATAACTGAATACATCTACCCTCTCATATACGTATCTTATTTATAGTAATACTTATTTAAACCAACTAACCTCTTCCTTGTAAAGAAAACCAAAAACACATCCACCTGCTGTCATGGCTGCTGCTATACTTACCATTATTACCAACTGAAACAACATAAAATAAACAATATCAGAAATATCTGTACGATCGTACTATGGACCAGGAACTAACCAATACCATGTTGTTGGATGAAATTCAAAAATTTACTTCACCAAATCGATGCAGAATTGTTCAAAGAACAAGCATGGTAATGGTCATGTCGATCTGACTTGAATTGACGTAGCTTTAAGCATTTTGGAAGAGCGTGAACCCAAGAAGAAGAACAACAAGAAGATGAGTAGCAGTTAGCGACCAGTTTCTGGTCCACAAAATATCATAACAGTGCAGTCATGCCTGCTGCTATACATATCGGGGGTTGTAATAGCCCCAAAAATGTACCCTTTTAATTTGGATCTTTGATTTCATGATGGTATGCCATGTAAGCACAATCTGGTATGTTTTCTTGTTTGAAACATCACTGGAAGTTACCCCACATAATTAGTAGTAGTAGTAGTAGTTTTCTCGAATTGAACTGTTCTGCCTCCAACAGCAACATAAAGCTAAATAGCTATTACGAATCACAAAATAACACTATAATGGAAATTATTGACTTTTGTCTGAATAAAGAAATAGATTGTAGATCATTTAAAATCACATACATGTACCAGATGACCAACTATATATGGCCAGATGAATATTCGCAGATAAACTGATAGAGGGTCTTCTAGGTTTACCACCCAGGGAGAGAGAAATGGGGTTTGACGTCCATTCTACTGTTTCGACAATGGAATGACGGCTGCATATACACGTAGTTGCAGTTTTAAACAGATTGCAGATTACACAATATTACACATTCAGCCATCCACCATCCCACCCACTCCTGGTTAGCGAGCCAGACTGGTAAATACAACTGAATGATGAACCCTGGTCTACATGTACTTACCATTAAAAGAATCCATTTATTGGTTCTGATTGCTCCTACAATTCCCAGAAAACCAAATAAAAGTATGATGCCACCAACAACAATCAGAACATAAAGAACTATTAAATATCTCTGGAACTCGACGTTGATATCCAGGTATTCATTTGACCAATAATCTAACAGCAGCCATAACGGTACACCGAATAATACTGCACCAAATAACTGAAATAATAACAGAAATATATTGATAAGTTTTCTTTGATAGTAATCAGAGAGGGAGAAATGGGGTTTAACGCCCACTTGACACAAACTAGGTCATTTCGGGACTAACATATGGTTTAATTTTATTTAAATAACTTGCTTGCGCGTAAGGGTCTTTAGCAGTGGGAGGAAACCAGAGGACCCGGAGAAAACCCACGAGGTTGGACAGGCGATCCTGCTCCTTGTCAAGTAAAACCGGATTTAGTAATTGGAACATAATAACTATTATTAATAATATTAACCTTTGTCCAGGTTTAAGTGTACATGATTCCCAAAGTTGTAATTGTTGTTGCATATTCTGTACATATTTAATATTCGTTTGTTCCTTGAATACTAACGTCCACTTCCAGGGAAACTAGCAAGATGAGTCAAATGATAGGCTAGTCTCGCATAGGCGGAGACAAGAGACTGGTTAGGCAACTTATTCCATTCCCTTTCCTTTGGGTAAAAACACAATGCCTTTGAGGGGTAGTGACAAAGGAGTTGCTCCCGGTACAAGTAATAGGGTATGGCAGAGGAGACCATAGGAACGATGGCGAGCGTGTGCAGTCTGGCCTGTGATCCCATTAAAGATATTATCTCCCCATACAGGTACATGTATCATTTGCTTGACAATGATGTTGAAATGATGTATAGTAATAAATTCAGTAATTATGTGTCAATAAAATGGTGACTTGTGCTAATATTGACAGATTGCTAAAACTTGGTTTGAAATATCCACTTGATACAATGTTTTTATATTAGCAAAAACACTGTAACCCGGGTATCAATTAATCTTGTGTATTTAACACTAATTTCTTTCACATTCTTTTAATCAAACAATTATACATTATTATTATTATTATTGTTCGATTTATATAGCGCTTCATTACACGTGAAGTGTTTCTAAGCGCATCAATAATCAATTGGGTTGTTTATCTTTTAACAGTGATCGAGAAATTAAACGCTTGTAAATTGGACACTCATTATCAAAATTGAATGGTCAACTTTAAACTGGACACACAAGTACAAATTAGATGATTTTTGGTGATTTTAAATGATTTTTGTGAATTTTTAAACAAAGATTTGATATTGAATGAACGTGAAAGAAATCGGCACTAAATACACTAGATTAAATGATATTTGGGTTACAGTGATAGATATTTTCTAAGTAGTTTGAAAATATTGTCCAATCAATGCATCTGTATTTAGAATCTCGGCTGTCAAGGAAATACATCTATTCTAAAAATGCAGTTTCCTTTGATATTTCTTTCTGCATGCTGTTGGCCATTAATGATTAACAAAGGTTAACCAGACAAGGAACATCTCACAACATCTGATCAATATTCTGTCTTCTTCTGCTTCAACCTTTCTCCAAGTATTACGATAAATATCAATAAAAACAATGATTTGATCTAATGTAGGGTTGCTTGGAATCACTGTGACATTGTTCTTAGATAAACTGACATTTGTAAACTTGTGTGTATTTTTACTGTATCAGCTTATATTTGTACATGGTGTCCTGTTTAATCGAGAGAGAGAGAGAGAGAGAGAGAGAGAGAGGTTTAACTCTACTCCCTTGCACATACATGTAGGGTTCATTTCGGAGTGGGAAGAAACTGGAGGACCCAAAGAAAACACACAAGGTTAGACAGACCCCACTCCTTGTCACATACACAAGCAGGGAATCGAAACCAGAACACTTGCCTCAATGACAGACCTTATGATCCAACAAGCACGCGCTATAACCATTCGCGCTATAACCATTCGGCCACCCACCACCCTTATTGTAAAGCAAGAGGTTATAGGTAACCTATGTGTAGTACAGTTATATGGGTTGAGTTAGGATGATCCTAATAAAAACTAACTGGTGGTAATCCTATATCATACATATACATGTACTGTCTTACCAGGTAATGTTTTTCACAAAGACTGTAAATAGTGAAATTTATCAGTTATACAACAGCAGACACAAAATATTCAAATTCAAGTAGTTTTTCAAGTCTATATATTCGCACTGAATTTTTAGTGTTATTTGTCGCCTATGAAATATTTACTAAATAATATACATGTACTAATATTAACAATCATATTGACCTCAAAATGAATCCAAAAATCGATCATTTCAATTGAATTCAATATTCAAACAACATTCGAATAACTTACTTATAGGTAATTTAATTAGTAAAACCAGCATGCAATGTGACCACTAACATACGATAGATTTACATTGATTTGAATTTACCAACCAAATATAAATAGGATGAGTCTGTCTTATAGACAATTTCCGTAATTACATTTTCTTAGTCTACGATATGTAGACGTGTTTAAATCACTCAACGGCATACTCTCAGGTGGTATACTTCAACAAGTCTATTTCTTTCCATTTAAAATAGATTACACAATGTATATCACAGTCCATTTGTAATTGAGCTTTCACTATTCCCGGAACATGAAAGAATATATTCTGTTAAGCTAACTTAAATCTAACATGTCTGTGGTTAAAACAATACATCTACATTTTCAATATGATGAGGATTGATTTTTAAACTGATCTGGAAATAAGGCACCTGTCACAGACAATGTCAGGCACAGATTCAGGCTTTGTCAGGTACAAAACCTCTGGTGCTTGTCATTTTGTCCGGCACTGATTCGTCTTTTTTTATTGATATTATTAATACATGTCCAACACTAAGTTGAAAATGTCAGGTATTATTTCATTAGTGCCTGACATTTTGTCAGGTACATCTAAAACCGTTATTTCCAGGCCTGAAGGTATCGGATATAAGTCATGCCTAGGCCCCACTGGGCATTTTTGGCCTCGGGGATGTACATGTACTACCGATGGAAACTGATGAGCCTCGGGAGGCGTCGGGAACATGTTCTCCCGTGTCCTAGGGAAGTTTCGGGAGCGTCACGAGCCATGTAGAACCATCGGGATGCCTCGGAAAACTGAGAAAAATTTCAATTTTTCCTGATGTATTTACAACGTTTTTTACCCCCCCCCCCCCCCGGAGCACCGAGAGATAATTTGTTTATTTCCATGATGATTTATCCCTACATTAACCTACATTGATACTAGAAACAAGAGAGATTATAATCTAAGGTGATTACCAAAATGTTCATTATTTTTAAAGTATTCTGGCTTAGATTTAGACCACGATAATACATACATGTATTGCAATCAAGGCGTTATATTATGGATTTTTATATGATTTATTGCCATTATGAAAATCTAAAAATGTTTTGACATACAATTGAACTATTAGTTGTCTATACACTGATTGTGTTATACCAGTAAGTTTATTCTGTATAGATCTCCAGAGAAACCAGAAATGCAAATCAGATTTTCATAGAGCTGATGAAATATTCATCTGAAAGAACCAAAGAGAAGTGATACCTTTACATGTGTTAAGGGCTTGCAAGGCAGTGGCATAAAGTTTGAGGGTTAGGTTATGACTAATAATGTATATTTATATTCAATTGACTCCTCGGTTTCCAAAAAAGACTAAACTTTCCTTTTTATTATTATTTTTATTTATAATACGGTCAGGCCTGGTTATTAATCTAACTTAGTCGTGCTCAACAAAAATGTCAGGCACCTTAAGGAAGGTTAATTGTGATGAGCATTTTGTTCTATATAAATATTATAAATAGACACTGAAAAAAAATACAAAACTTCGCTAGATACATTGACAGGCACCAGAGGGATTGTGCCTGACATTGTCTGAATTTGTGCCTGATAATCTCTGTTATAGTAGTAAGGTGCCTTATTTCCATGATATAAAATATATTCAAAGAGCATTAAGCTAAACAGTTGTGTCATGTACATCAAATTTCTTGCATTTTGTCATCTAGTCTCTAGAATCAGCATGTAAATGTGCCACCTACAGCCTACAAATACAAGAGTATCATTGTGAAGTGATCGCACTTTTATCATTAAATATTTATTATCTGATTCACAAATCATATAGTCAGAGGAAACCAGGCTGGAAAATTCTGAGGAACTGTGGCTCCACAGCATGAGTTTACAAATATAATTATGGCTTATTATTTAGGAGAATTATTTTTTTCTGTTTCAGGAGAAGGTAAATCCTGTTTTATATGACATTTAAAATTAAATGATTATTCCAAAATATCTTTTTAATATAAATCTAAATCTCTATAAAACCAATACGTTTAGTGGTTGGGATCAGATTGAGTTTCACGATCCCTGGGGAGGGTGGATGGTCGAATGGTTAGCACGTGCATGCTGTATCATTGAGTCAACTGGTGGTATGGTTTTGAATCCCGGGTTGTACGTGACAAGGAGTAGGGTCACCTGTACAACCTCGTGGGTTTTGTCAGGGTCCTCCAGTTTCCTCCCACTGCCAAAGACCCCTACCCGCAAGCGAATTATAGAAATAAAATTGAAATTGAACATGTGTTAGTCCCGAAATGACCTAGTTTGTGTTGAGTGGTCTCTCTCTTCACGATCCCTATTTATAGAAGACATCAGTCACAAGGTAACGTACTCTGTGAGATGTCACACAATCAACATTTCCCTTTACTTACACCGTCTTTAGTTTGTGTGAGAAAAAAACTGTTAAAATAAAAGTGTGGAATAAAACTTTATTGGCAGAATGCAGGTAAATATATTCTAGTCAACAACAGAATGATATCATGGTCCGAAAACAAAAAAGTACACCTGGTTTACCTTATAATGATCCATTGATTGACATTCTGATATTACAGCAATAATCGAGTGATAAATACACAACAGACAGGAAACTTGATCGATATTTTCGAGTTTTTACTGATATTTGAAGAAAAAATAAGTGAGATGTGTGTTTCTGTGATGTTCTGTTTCAAAAAGTAAATTTCTATACTGGAGGCCAATTCCGAGCTTTCAACGGAAAATCACCAACCGTACATGTACATAATCAGAAGTACATTGTACTCTCACCAAAACGATCAATGGTAAAGCCCTAGGGTGCCATGGT